GATTATACCAAAAGTATCTTATCGTACATAGATAATTATAATACACAGATACAACAGTTAATTATATTTAGAAAAGAGTTGATAATATCAAAAAAAATTTTATCAAAAAATAAAGAAAAATTAAAGAATTTCATTCGTATTATTAATAAATATAAGTTATTAAAATATATTAAATTATTATATAATATTAAATTATATTATATTTATATTAAATATTTGCATATATAAATAATTACATTTATAATTAAAAACATTAAATTAAAATTAATTACATTTATTATTTGAAAATATTTTTTTGGACTGCATATTCTAAACATATTTAAGATCTAGTTGTTTCCAAAAAAAATTTACTATGCTATAATAAGATAATATAAAAGATTATTAAAATACAATAAATTTTTGTATATGCTTACATCAAATATCTTTCCATTCACATGAACCTTGACAATTATTAAAATAATAATAGGAAAAAATCAAATTTATATGATTTTTTTATACGAATTTACTAAAACAGTGCATATTTTAAAAATGTGGTTAAAAAAAAATAGTAAAAGTGTAGAACAATTAAATTCATAATGCAATTTTTTATCACAAATATAATAAAATTTATATGTGATGATTCATTTGTATATTTTTTTTAAAAATTAAAAAAAGTTATACCACTTTTTTCTTCCATCAATTCAGTTTCCAATATTTCATGCTGTTCCTGATTTGGGATGCATTTGTACGACTGTAATTTATATACGATAATAATATATCGATTTGTAATTATCGAATCACCTGTTGAAATAAGTACTGCATGAGTATAAATATTATTTTTTTTAGAATTGATGATGTGTTTATACAATTTTTTTATGTCTTTATTAATACTGTATTTTCATTTTATTTATTTATATAAATTTGAAAAATTTAATGTTTAAATAATAGAAGATTTAATATTAAATAATATATTTACTAGCTTTTAAATTTTATTTTTAATTTTAGCTTTTTAATTTTAACTTTCTTAAATTCTCGATTATTAAACGTATTTCAACACTAAGTAATTAATAATTGACTAATCAATACAAAATTCAATTATATTTTGAACAATAAAAAAGATAGATATATGTAAAAAAATTTTTTAATATAAAAAAAAAAAAAA